GGGGGGGGGGGGGGGGGGGGGGGGGGGGGGGGGGGGGTAGTAAATAAATCTGTTCTCCATTCAAGAAAAAAAAGGAAAAAATTGCCACAGAAGTCGCTTATAGAACATGTCTGCCTTTAACAGGCTCTAGTGTATCACTGTTTTGACAAGACAATATGGCTTGTAAAACATAGCATCTTTTATATCGTTGCTTTTCGGATATAAATTATCAACAGTAAATGTTTCATGGGTTCCTCTAGGGAACAACTTTCTCATTGAACTGATTGACAGCAAATTTACCATCAAGTTAATTGAAACTTATACGAGGCAATGCCACACTGAAACCATCAAGTTAGAGGGGCTTCATTCACCTCAACTTTTTGAAGTAATAAATTTGATCGTCTTGGCAAATGTCTTCACAAGCATACCATATCCTCTAGCATATTGAATTGCACATGGTAGTCATCTCATCTTGTGGTACCAAGTACAGAACTATTAGTGAAACAGCTCAATAAGAGTGACTATATACCTTTCTAACTTCAAAATCATGGTGAATTTCTACCATATGAACATTGGTTACCCCAAGATGGACATTGACTGGTGCTTCTCTTTCAAGATACATTTTGCTAAGCATAATTCTAAATTGAATTTCCAAGAGACTGCCCATGCTCATACTGACACAAGAAAGCTGTAAGAAATCTCATAAAGCCTACTAGAATTTCGCAAATTTCTCATATAGCCCCCCTATGATGAATACTGTAACAGATCCTATACAGATAGCATCGCAAGTGGTAGGATACAAAATGGAATGAAAGGGCTTCGAGACCATATTCTAGCCTGTTTTGAGATGATAAACAGGACCCTTGAACATTAGAGTGCTTCAAACTCACTTTTACTAGGCAATTGAAGAAACATATTTTAAAATTCTCATGATGAAAGAATATTTACCCATTGGTTGGCAGGATTTTCTAATTCTCCAGGGGAGATGAAATAAAAAAAAACTAAGCAACTCTCTTACCTAAGGTTTTTATAGATTACTGAAGAGTTCCTATAAAAGTCTGATGCTATGTTGCTTGTACTCTCCAATTTAAAGGAAGTACTAAAAAAAAAGGGAATTTTTTTTTTTTTTTTTTTTTTTTTTTTTTTTTTTTTAGGTATTCTAATCAAATTATTTCTAATTTTTTTTTTAGGTATTCTAATCAAATTATTTCTAATCTGCATTTCATATTTCCAGACTTGAAATGAAATTTAAATGTAGTATCACAATTTGCAATTTAATTTGTTATAAATTTACACTTCAAGGTAATAAAACACATCCACGTATCCGTGTCTAAATTTTGGATCATTTTTTAGCCATTTTCTAGATTTTAATACTAAAAAAGGGATGTGACTCATACCCAAGTCCAAGCAACATATATTTGATCTTGGTTTAAAAGACGGTCTTAAGTTGCGACTCAGGCTGAGGTACAACACTACGTCCAGTACATTTTTCATTTATTTATTTATTATTATTATTTTTAATATATTTGAGAAGCACTTGCCTCAATTCACATGGGTGAGGCATGCGCCTCATTTTGTTATTTGTAATTTAATATTTTTAAGTTTTTAATGTGAAGGAGTATTTCAAAGATAAAAGTCTAATTAGGCCATCTTCTCAAACAAAAGAACAAAGAAGTGGGCTTATTATAATTATCTAAACAATAAAAAAATAAAAGCTTCTTCTCCAAGTCTGGCAGCTTCTTGTATGAAATGTTCTTTCCTTCTTTATTTTCTGCTTTTCGTCTCCTCTGAAAGTTTTGCAACGAGAGTTTTTAAGTCTAATTTGCTAATCTTTTGCAACTGATCGCAATTGGAGTATATTTAATCAAGTACATACAAAGAGAGGGAACTGTGTGACAACAAAGAGGTTGAATACATTGGTTTATATCATGTAAAACAAGAGGCTTAAAGATCGACATGTAAGATTGAAGTCACTCAATGAAGGACAAGACCACTTAAGTGTCAAAGATTTTCCATACGACGATGAATGGATTGCTGATTTTGGTGGTGAAGTTCCATCAAATGCATGTGGTGTAAAAGATGATAGACCTAGATCGCGTCTATGGTATTCAGACTTAGGTACGGGTATCAGGTCAAGTGTCGGATCTTTTATTTTCTAAAATGTAAGATATGGGGACATGACTTAAAAGGGTCCAAATTTCATTAATATGGCTTTTTTGTCAACCTTATTAACCTATCAACACTATTAATATGGCTTTTATTGTCAACCTGATTAACCTAAAAACATTAGTACCAATGGAAATAATAGCTCATTTAACTAAAATCACAAAAATTGTGTAACAGTTGGAAAATATAAACCCTTGTATAAATTGCCGTGTCCAGATAGAGTACCTGTACCTGTGTTCTATCGTGTCGACACGAGTATTCTAGTCATTTTGAAGAGTTCAAGCATCATAGCTCCACAAGGAATTGACAGTCCTACTCGCATACAAAGTCAACCTAAAAGAAAACAATCTATTTCACAAAAAGGATCCATATATGTCTAATTGAATTTACTTCGATTTACAAAATTATATTAGTAGATGACTTAGATTTACAAAATTATATTAGTATATGGTTTAAGATTATTTATTTATTTTTATTTATTATTATTATTTTTTTTTTGTGGGCAGACTTTTACAATTTTTTAATGTAAGTTGTTTTTTTCCATTGCAATAGGAGTGACGGACAATATAACATTTACTGTTTTATTTACTTATTTACTCAATGGATGGTTCTTTAAGATTGATTGTTTATGGTTTATTATATTTATATGTGTATGGTATTTACAATTTTTTTGACAAATTCTTTTGCTTGGTTTTTAAGCTTACGCATCACCTCACAAAGGAAAAATGCCTCAGTACCTAGTTCCACTTTTTTAAACTTGGGGTTTGATGAAATCCAATAGCTAACTTAAGACACCATGGACTCTAGAAAATATCTGACTAATGGATATGTACCCATATTGGACTCCTACAACCAAGTCCAAGCAACATAGGTTTGAGGATATCCAATAACCAAGTTAAGACCCTAAGGACTGTGAAAAGTATCCATGTCTAGCCATTACTTGAAAAATAAAAATACCCTTGATTCTAAAGTATATTACATCAGGGTAATAAAATTCCAGCAGCTTAACTAGTATACAACCACAAATTCATTATAGCATAAACTTCATAGAAGTTGCTGAAGCCAATTCACATACTAGTCAAGAAACTCTACTTCGACAACTTTGAATCTGCTAGGAATAATGAAATCAATTACCTTAAAGCCTTTTGAATCAGCGACACCTTTAAATTGCTCGAGATAACCAATTTCACTCTCTTCTTGTTGCATGAAATCTTCCACACTTTCATCACGCTCTTCTTCTGGTTTATATCTCCAACAACCTTTTCAGAAATCTCAATTCTTTCTTTTTGTCGCTATTCTATGATTTTACCTATGCCTGAAAAATCTCTACTTTGATTCTTCAATAACAACTCATAATGTTTGTAGCTCCAAAATAGCAGGCCTTATTTCCAAAACACACAAATTAAAGAATCCTCCATGAATATTAGAGATGTTTTCATGTCTCTTGTGGTAGAATATACGATAGAAAGAATTAGCATTGAAATTATAGAAAAATGAGGAAATGCTGAAGTGCTATAAAAGAAGACAAGAGAGGAGCGATTTGGCCTTGAAGGACTGGGAAGATTCATACAACCTTACAGTCAAACTCTCATAGTAATCAACTCTTCCATTTAATTGTAAGAATATATGCTTACTGTAGGTTTCTGGATTTCCTAATGCTTCAAGGAAACATGAAAAACTCATAGAAAGCTAAGAAATAAAGCAAGGCTCTTAGCTAATATACTCCTAGGCTACTTAAAATTCTCAGTAAAAGTGGGATTGCATTAAAATGACTAATTTATTATACTACAGACTGGACAATACCCATGTCCAGCCATTATATAAAGTAAAAAAAGTAGTGGACTTTAATACATATAACATCCCAGTGTACTGCCCACCTAACTGTCCAGCCTCAATTTATACAATTGCATTACAATTTCACACCAGTTCTTTTCGTTGGTGAATTGACTTGACAGCTGGCAACACACAATTTAATTCCTGTGTTATCACTGAATCAGCCATCTTGTTGATTAAAAATAAAAATAAGATCAATGCCAATTGACATTAGGATTGATTTGAGATCAACTAGTCCAGTAGGAAGATTTACCAAATTTTGACGTCAACAGTTTCAATCACATAAAATTAGCACTGAATTGTAGTCAATTTTGCAAAATGAAGTCTAATAGTTTATTATTATTTATCTTTGGACTGTCTTTGCATTTGGCAACACAGAGTCGACAAATTTTCACGTCATGCGAAAGGTTCCGAAGACTGAAAGAAAGCTACCAAGAGATGAAACGGAAAAAAGAGCAAGCAGCAACTCCATATGGCTTGGTTCCAGCATTACAAGTCTTAACATGACATCAATATAAAACGCTAGGGAACTTCAAGTAATCACTGGACTGGAAAATGAAAAAAAAATTGATACGTTACCAGCACTCGAGAGCCTAGATATTTCAGCTTCAGCATTATGAATAAATTCATCTTTATGACCTTGGACATACAGGTTCAACCGATCTTTTAGTATACCAGCAAGCTTCTCTTCCCTTTCCTTTTGAACAGTCTAAATGTTACAAGGAAAAAGCCCTCAGTAAATAAACACAGATATAATAAATAAATTTCCGATTAAGAGTTGCAGATACCAATAAAAGAAATTCTCCCTTCCTTTTTAGGATCACATTGGCATATTAATCACTGTGTTAAGAATTTATCCTGTTAATAAACTTGAGTAATATTTTCTCTATACCATGTTATCTTTCTCTTTTAGTCAGTAATTAGAAGATGTATTCCCCATGCAAAAGAAGTTTATAGAGCAAATCTATCCTAATTCTTATATAGAGATAAAAAGAAGAAAAGTAATATCCTAGTAGACTACAAAAATCTACTAGGCATCTCCCAATAGGAAAAGAAAACAATCTCCTTTGATAACCTCTTTTCCAGAACTAAATCCTGTCAAGGAAATAATAAGAGACTCCTAAACTAGCAAAATGGGAAGATTAAGTTGGTTCTGACACTGCTTGCATTTTCCTACACCATTTAGTTTCAAAGAAAGTACACAAAAAAGAACCAGAGAAGATAGAAATTAGAATCATAATCTCTCAATCTGATATCAATATTAAACCTCCATTTGGCAAATTTATAAATGGTTAATAGTTGTGAGCCACGAAATGCATGGATAACAATTAGTAGCTATGAACGTGTGGTTGAAATTAATGTTTGACTTTGACTAAATTTATAAATGGTTTATAAATTGTTATCCAAACGGAGGCTAAGCTTATTTAGTAGACACGGTAAATTTGAGAGCAGAAAAAGATAAGCATAAGGCCCTTTCAACCCCTCCTTCCCTTCACTGTAAACTTGTACTCCTGTTAACCTTAATGACAGAAATCCTTACAGAGGTACACACAAGTGTTAAGTTCAAATGCTAAACACGGAATATTAAAAAATTTACCCTCATTTTCTCTTGCAACTTTTTAGCGTCAAACTCTTCTCCTTCTGTGAATATATCCAAGGAAGCCATTGATGCCATGGCAAGTTGACCAATGTAATCCTCGAAAAGCTCACTTCCAAAAAGCATTGCAAAAATTGCTGCAGGATCAATAATTGCTTCCCTGAAATGAATTCAAGGCAGGAAAATTGTCGTCAGAAAATAGCCGTTAAAAATCAAGTCAATGTATCAAAAGCTCTTGACTATGCAAATGCTACGAAAGTTCATAAATATAAAATAAACTGACGTTGAAATTCCCGACTTTCCATGGGCATCGTAAGCTTGTCTTTGGGATGGATCACTCAGCACTTGGTAAGCCTCCCCTAAAATCTGAAATCAAAGGGAAGATTAGAAAATGAAAGATCAAGAGCATACCTCACACATTATACATGAATATATACAGATCCAACACACTAGATCATTGCTCATCCTTAGCAAGGTTCTATCATTGTTATTGTAAGTTTTTTGTGTATTTTAATCTGATTTTCCCGAGAAAGAGTAAGCAACAGACAATGCATGAGCATTAAGGGAAAAAAGCAAGTGAAAATTCAAGACAATATTCTGCCAAGAGCCAACAGCAATATTAATCCCCAAATAAGGAAAGAATAGGAGATAACAACAAATTGAAGTTTCTCAAAAGTCTAGGACACTACATCTTTGGATCTTGCAAAGTCCTTCTATTTATGCTCAAACCCCTTATAAGAATAAATATTAGCCATGGACTTCTATTTAGTGCTTGCTTGGTATTGCTTTTAAGTGCTTAAAAGTTGTAGGTCCTATAAAATATATGGATAGTAAGTTGCAGCCCTCTGAAATGTGGATAAAAAGTATGCTTGACCAGCTTAAATTATAATTAAGCACCCAAACATGCTATTAATCTGAACCATTCAAAGTAAATAAATAAAAGACAACACTGATGTGACAGTAAATAGCCTTACAGTGCATTGAAAGCCACTAAGAAAGTAGAAAATGGGTAATCGCAGTGGGCACTACTACCCTGCATCAGTTTCCCCAAAAACTAATCCTCAACTTTTGAAACATCACCAAGCTAAGGATCGAGATGCTTGAGTCGACAGTAATATCACAGATCTCCTTTCAATAATCTCACAGGTTTAATCATGGATCTTCCTGGGCCGATGATGCTATTTTTAATGTAGCAAATACATAAACCCTATTTGGTGAGGATTAAAATCAGATTTTTAATAGATTTTAACAAAAGTTGTTGAAATGTGTGGTTGAAAAGTAGTGGGTCCCATAAAATGTATGGTTAAAATTAGTTTTTGATTTTAACTTAGATTAAAATCTGGATTTTAATTTGTACCAAACCAGGGCATAAACTTCAAACACAAAAAATTGCCTTCACTTATCAGACTGATTATACTTTGCATTGCTTGCCTAATAGGATCTCAAGGTTGCTCCTAGACAGCCTTGATAGGCCCAGCATAGTCAGTAGAATGTTTACCAAATTTCTAATGGTATGGCATAAAGGACCACAGGATTTTGCAGAGAAGCAACCTCAAAATGGCATTTTCAGCATGCGGCAGCATAAAATATACTTGACTTACTTAAAGAAACAGATATATTGGGATGCAAATCAGGGGATGCTCCAACTGATCCAAATCAGAAGTTAACAGCAAAGGAAGGTTGTGTTCCAGTAGACAAAGGGAGATATCAAAGTCACGTGAGACGATTGTTTATCTATCTCATACTCGGGCAGACATTGCATATTTGTTGGAGTTGTACAATAGCATGTGGATTTTGTTATGAGGATCCTAAGGTATCTAAAAGGTACTCAAGGGAAAGGACTTATGTTTTCAAAGAATAAACATTTGTATACATGAACAGAAAGCGATAAACAAGCACATGAAAATCAAGGCTATGTTCTGCCAAGAACCATCATCAACATTCAACCCAAAGAAAAAATAAATAAATGAAACTAATGCTGAGCTGATGTTGCTTAAGTCTGACTCTCTTGAAGCTAAAGCAAATCTCAGTCATGGACTTACACATCTGAGTTCTGACTCACACATAATAAGATAAACATATGACAGTATAGAACATAAAAAAATGCCACAATAACATTTGACTAGTAGAAGACACAAAATTAGCTAGGAAACAGCAATAAGTGAGTGAAAGAAGAAAAAGAAAAAAGCCAGCATCTGAAAGAAAGGCCACAAACAAAATATGCTTTAGCTACGTTATTCATCCAAGTTCTGACAGAAACACATAAAAGAACATGCCACAGAGCGGCAAAAACTAGAAAGCTTCCAAATAAAATCTGGAGGGAGTTTCACCTGAAAATTTTGTGCTGCCAAAGGATCGTTTGGGTTTTTATCTGGATGGACCTGTCTAGCCTGCAACAACCACAAACAAAATGGATGAAGCACATTTAGATGTTTAGATAGGAGAGATACTTCTTTCAGTTTTATGTGGTTTCAATTTGAAATATGGTAAAAGAACAAGACTGAAACCAGGAACCACACAAGAACAACGCATTCAGAAACATAAATCAAATAAAAGAAAAAAAATCTGGGATCACTATCCTAAGAAACTACCCTACAGATTAGAAGTGATGTGTTGTTTTCACGGCTATCTACCATATATAATTGTAGGAACTGGAAATTAAAAGGTTCTCAGGTAGACAGGACAGATATGAACGACTGAATCTCGTTTCAGGATTAGAATAGTAGTGCTTCAGATTAAAATCTCATAAATGAAACCTCCTATGAAATACCATCTTAGAACAAAGCCTTATGTCAGCAAAATAATTCCATTGAATAGTGCCTCGTTCCTTTTCTAGACAGCTTTTCTCAATTGCTTCCTAGTTGATGGAGCTCTAAGGCCTCATAAACTTCTGCTTTATGACTGACCCTAAGTTTTTCACCTGCCTCTGTACCTCCAGTTTCTTCATCACAGTTTTACTCCATCTCCTATTAAATCCAGTTGCATCATTGCCTCTACACCATAAAAAGCCAGTATATAAAACAAAAGTGAAGAGTGTGCGGTGTGCCTCTCTCTCTCTCTCTCTCCCCCAATTTCATTTTACATTTGTTTCACCAAGTAATCCAAATGGATAAAACTTTGAAAGGGGAGTTTGAGGGTACAATTAGATTTTGAAGTTAAAGAGTCCAACTTTAATGAACCAAAAAATCAGAAATGTCATTAAGTTAGCTAGTTTTTCTTCTAAAACTTCAATTATCTAGCATAACCAGTATATGGGAATTATAATTTTGGATCCAACCTTCACTTCTATAGCCTGCTGGCATTCTTCCTTTATTTAAAACAGATTTACAGAACTTCTTAATCTTCAAATGGATTATAAAAAAGAATGAACCTAAATTCTTGACGGATCAATTCACCCTCTTCTCTATAAAGCATTGAATTAAGGTATCCAAAGCCACAATATTTTTTTTTTTATGACCATGGGTGTCCGGACTAGCTTATGCGCACCTCAACTAATCCCACAGGGCCCTGAAATTTACAGCCGGGTACTCACCTCAGTGGCCGCAAAATGTAGAATAGGAAAATGAGAATTAAAAAACAATGCTGCCCAAATGCCAATGCAGCCCCAATCTGTAAAATATTCAAAAGGATATTTCATGGAACATGCATCCTGCATTGCACTTTTGCTAGAGAGCTATAGAGGAAATTGATGATGGTAAGAGAAGTGAGATAATATGGGACATTGGCCTTTACTCGCTTCATTTGGATACAAATGAATGCAATAATATTTTAGAACTTTTTTTCACATCTCAGTGGTTATGGAACAGAGCAGTATACCTGTCATCATTTTAGGCTTAGGCAGCAAACTACTCAGAGGTCAGTCCTATGGAAGGGGAAAAGGAATTTTTTTTTTTTTTTTTTTTTTTTTTTTTTTTTTTTTTTTTTTTTTTTTTTTTTTTTTTTTTTTTTTTTTATTTTTTTTTTTTTTTTTTTTTTTTTTTTTTTTTTTTTAAAGAAATTTTTTGGTTTTAACGTGTTTCAAAACCTAAATATATTTGTCAGAGTAAGCTCCAACCAAACTAACTGCTAAAAAGTTTATATTATATCTGTCGAATAAAAATAGAAATTTTTTCCAAGACGGTCTTTCAAATAGGAGTTATTTTACAGAAAGAAAACTGGGTTTTAAAAATACCCCTTCGTTTAGAAAATATGTTAAAGCAAAACATCAGGCCTGGTGTTATTCATCCAATCATGATAAACTTTTATTCATTCACCACTAGCCTATTACTTTAACGAACATCTTGTAAAAGAAGGATGTCACAAGCTTATTCCCTATTCCTTTTGTTAGCAGCAGAATCTACCGGACTACCACGATTCAGAAGGCAAGAGTTGCTCCTTGTTTGAGCATGTAACCCAGCTACTACAAATGTCTAAGGTTTTTGCAATTCTAAAAGGTCAGACTCTTGAGTAACTCTATTAAGTTTGTAAAACAACTTGCTTCAGGAAACAAATTTACTCCAGCATGAGTCGACATTCAATTGGGGTAATGTGAGGCAAAATTTCATATACGTAACTATAATGTCAGCAGAAACTCCTTGCAGAAACCTATATCTTATTGCCATATCATATTCTAAAAAAGGTAAATTTCCTGATTTTAGTTGAACTTGAAGTTTTTTTTCTGTTAAATTTTTAAACATGTAGTTCATGTCATAAAGATTTTACTACGTAGCCTGAAAATTCAGTAGCTACGTGCTGGATTAACATGTTCATGAAATCAATAAACCCAAAAAAGGATTTTTCATGCGGCTTAGAAGTCAAAGCATCATATTTTTTTAGAATTGAGTTCCCTATACCCCCAAAATTCTTCTAGCAAACAGCAAAAACGATAATAACGAGAAGGAAAGCAAAATCAATTTAACTAAATAAAGAAATACAAAAGAACCATTCCATGAATTTAATTGATCGACGTATTTTCCATACCTTGACGTAATAAGCTTTTTTAATCTCTGCATCGGTGGCCGTGGGGCTCACACCTAGCACATCGTAGTATTCCGTTTCCTTCACCATCGGATCTCAGAAGATTACAACCAGTTATCCCGATTAACAAAACAACTATCTGAATCAAATTACCAGATGGGCTTTTCAATTCTGCATTAAAATTAAAAGATCACAACTATTCTCAGCAAACAGAAGAATCACAAAGCAAAATCAAATATGGGATTTATTCTTTTTTCTTGGAAAAGCGGTAGGGAGATGGAACAATTTTGACTATTTGAAAGAGTGAAATTCATCTGGAATCTGGAACAGTTAAGAGTTGAACTTGAATTTTGACCTGAGTTTCCGTCGTTTTCATTCCTGGAAATCCTTGGACCCAGTCGCGGTGTTTTGGCGGGGCCTGCCTCGTCGGCTCTTCCTCGAAAGCTTCACCTGCAATTTCCACCATATATAACATTTTTTTTTATATCCGGCATCCCAACTTACACCAGACTAAATCCTAGACCTCCAAGACTCTTGTCCTAGAACCTTGGAGGTAAATCGCGGATTATGCCTCAACTAGATCACAGGTTCCCTTCATATATATCTGTTAAGACTAGGGGGTGGTTATTAAGTGGAGAAATTAAATATTTTTATAAATTGGTATTTATTTCGGTATTAAATCGATGTGGGATAACACATTCCTTAACACGCACCCTCAAAATTGTGGCTCATTTGAGCATATCAATCTTGAAATTTACGAGGTGGCTCTGATACTATGTTAAAACTTCTGATCGATCATAATAAGGTCAACCTTGCTAAGAGGAGTAGTCTAAGATCTTTTTAAATTGGTAAATATTTCGATATTTAATTGACGTGGGATTTTTATCCCTCAATACGCCTATGCAAGAGGGTTCTCGTTTGAGCAGACCAATTTTACAATCTATTACTCATTAATTGAGACTTATAATTGGATCGAATTACTCGTTGGACCTTAATGAGCTCTGATACCATGTTAAAATTTGTGGTCTATCTTAATAAGATTAACTTTATTAGGTAGAAAAACCCAAAATCTTTATAAATTAGTATTTATTTCGATATTAAATCGATGTGGGACAGCACATCCCCTAACAATATCTTCTTTATTTATTCCTTGTTCGTCTAAGGTTGGTTTTTTCATTTTTTTTAAATGTTTTTTTTTTTACTTTTTAATATAATCCCCGAAAAATCATTTTTCTCAAATTTTCCAAAAATCTACGTGCCATAAGTTAAAAGTAGGACAAGTGGATATCTATGCCTTTGTTTGGTTTCTTTTGCTAAAATTTTATTTCAAAATTAAACATATATTTTTAAAAATTCGTACAAACTTTTTTCTCACACTTGGGTCACCATTCTTTATTTTTTGGGTAGATGGATTCCAAAACTATCATAATTGTTACATGTCACAACAAACGGAAGTAAATCGTCTAAGATTCCATCAAATCGTCACTTGCAATGCACGTGTTCCATTCAGACGAGAGTGTTTTCATTTACTTTGCATTTAAGGTCTCCACTCCCAAACAATAAAGAATAATTCTATTTGTGCCGAATAGAACGTACCGAAAGTTGTCCATCCCTCATAACGCATACGGACCCCGCGTGAATATAAAAAATCTCAAATAGTGTCCTCACCCCTATTATGAGTAGTAGGTAAAGAATTAGGTAAAAAAATTATGTACATATATTATTATTCAACAATAAATGATCTCTCACTTTTCACACGATTGTAGGTTTCAAACCCTTCCATCTACTCTCAATATTCAAAACTTTTCATAAATTTCAAAATTGCAACTACATTGATAACTATGTAAAACTTGAGGATTCCTTTTGCAATTTTAACTTTTAGAGAACATCGTGAAGGTTATTCATATTTTGAATTTATATATAGCCCATTTTTTGTGAAGATTAAAATCAGATTTTAAGTAATTTTTTTATAGAAGTTTATGAAATGTGTATTTGAAAAGTTATAAATTCCATGAACATGTGATTAAAATCAATTATTGACTTTAATTTAAATTAAAATCTTGATTTAGTTTATGCTAAAGAGGGGCATTGTTTGAAAAACCCCATTTGAAATACATCTCTCAATAAATAACTTTGTTCCACTATATGGTGATGTTTTATTGTCTTATTTTCTACATTTTTTGTATTTACTATCCATTTATTCCAATTTAAGTTTTGCAGAATTGGACTCGACGTTCTTCGCATCAAAGTTCACCATGCAGAAAAGGTTTTCTATAGAATGTCCAACAAGTCGAATATATCAAGGAGGTATGGTTGACATGATTACATTTTCTAAGTCTAAATTACATTCAGTTAATCTTTTCGGGTATATTTTGCCAATGGTGTACAGATGTAAGGTACGTAACATGTCGTTGACAAATGTGTTAGTTAACGTCTATACTAATCATAATATTGTGTGTATGCTGGAAACTCTTAAGATTGATGAGATCTATGTAGTAGTGCCCCATGTTCCCATCCTAAATTTGCCATGAGATTACTCAATTGATGTTCTCTGAAACTAATTCCAATAGAATTTTTAAATTTTGTGAAAGATCTCAAGAATCGAGCAATGAACATTGTGGCTTAGATGAAGTGACAATCATTCTGAGTTTGAACTAATTAGATCGTGAAAATAATGAGTTTGAAGATTTAGATCTTGAACATGTTGGTCAGAAACATGGATTTCGAAACCATTTTGAGTGTCTTTGAGCAACATAATACTCAAAGAGGCAACGAGAGAGAGACTATCGTGACTCAGATTATCTGCAAAGTCTTAACAGTGAAGTTGAATATAATGTCTAACCCAAAGTAGAGAACTTGATATGAATAAAGTCAATTTCGCATTTAGCAACTTCAAGGGCTCGAAGGAAGAAACAAATGGATAGAATGAGAACAGAAAAACAATAGGCATATGAATGGCTGATGGGAAAAACTTCTAGCTAGTGGAGTGAGTCACATTTTTGTGATCTATCCGAGTATGATATTATGCTTAATAATCTTTGAGAAGCATTCAACCCAGCTATTCTTCCAGCAAGGGACAAGCCAATTATCACCTTTGCTAGAACACATTTGGTGCCAAATGATGACTAGGATAGTTGCAAAGAGAATTTTTGTTGAGAAATGGGACAATCCTGTTGGTCCATGGATATTTTAAGATACTAGAGAAGACTAGGAAAGATTCAGACTGCGTGATACAAAATGGGTCGGAGCAAAGTAATTTCAAGTATGACATAGTAATCAAGAATAGAATATTCTATTGATTTGAATAAGATATGTACTTGTCGATTATTCCAACTGATAGGTTTACCTTGCGTTCGTGCACTTGCTTGAACAATTGATAGGCAGACACGTACAAATATTGTGATGCCTACATCATTGAGCATATAATTTGGTTGATAAGGGCCACCATCCATTGAACCGTGGCCTACTTACAAGACAAGAGTGATGACTTCGATATTTAGCTATGTCTTAGAGAGCTACATCAACGCAACTTCACCAAATTTTTGAAAAGTATAAGAGTTGATGGATCCAAACGTCATTAAAAAAAAAAATGACCACCTACTACAACTCAATATGAAAATATCTCACTTGCCTAGAATGTTAATTGTTTGTTATTTAAGCCCCAGTTTTTTGGGATAAAAATCCAATTAAAATTTCAATTCAAAGTCAACATTAAATTTTAACCACATCTTTCATGGACCTACAATTTTTCAATCCCACATTTCAAGAATTTCTTTAAAAAATCTAATTTTAATCCGACTTTTAACAAATTCTTTACCCGTTGAGTAAAGATGAGGATTATGTCCATGTTTGATCATGATTAAATATAAATTTTAATTTAAGTCAAAGTTAATAATTAATTTTAACTACATATTTTATGAGACCCACAACTTTTCAGTTACACATTTCATCAACTTTTATAAAAAAAATTCTACTAAAAATTTAATTTTAATCCCCACCAAACAAGGGCTAAATCGTTTATTGGGTGCCCAGTTTTTACAAATATAAAAAGGCATGCTCTTTTAAAAAGATTGGGAAGACGTCAAAATGATAAGGTTTTTTTATAAGCCAAAGAAAAGTTATAGATCAAGTTAGAAATTAAAAAAAAAAACTTATAATTAATTCTTTAAACTTATCCAACAATGTAAAGTTACCTTTTGTGGGGCCATGAATATGAACGAATTAACACATCATGGAACCATGAATTTAGCCACTTTGATCTACACCAACAAGCCACTTGGCTGGCACTTTCATGAGGTTCACGGCTGGGTATATATTCCTATGAGATTAGAGCATCCACAACGTGGACCAAGAATATTAATTGGAGGACCAAAATTTTAACATGTATTATTGTCGGAACATAAATTCACTAATAATTTAAAAGCTATCGATGATGCTAAAATGTTCATGTATGAAAAGAATCATTTGTTTTCAAACATTAGAATGAGTCGATTAACTTATAATCAATTCTGATATAACTATTAGATAGTAATAAATATTGTGTGAAGTTCGATTTCCTTTTCCCGATAGGAATTATTTTGCTCGATGACTTTAATCCTTGGCCTGTTATATCAATTAACTTCTGGGCCACCTTGTTCTCTTAAAATTTATATTGAACATCAATAGATCAATTTAATTGATTTTATTGGGGAAAAGAAAAAGTTTCTCACAAAAATTAGAACAAAAATTATATCCATATTAATTCTTGTTTGTTGCATCAAATTTTAATTGTACTTAAGATCCTCAATCTTTTCTCATTATATCATTTATT